AGTTCTTCTAGATATCCTTAACAACATTATTTATCAATTCATACTCTCAGTTCAACAATCATTTCATCCAGAATATTCGTCATCATTAATCCATAATATTCATAAAAATGAACAATCAATCAATCATCATAATAACTAATAACAATCAGCGGTCTAGCATCGAGTGTTAACACCCTAGCTTACCGTCATGCATCACATAAGATCCCTTTTAGTTGTTAAAATACCATCTTTATTCCAAGAAATCATCCTTTTATTAATCATAATGGTTTGGTATCAAAATATAGGATTCCATAACTCAAAAATCATATTTTCTAAATAACAATTCATTAATATATGATAGGAAATTCAATTATTAGCTATTAGCTTCATTTTCTTCAATAGTGTAGGGTGATAGTCTACTGTCTGATGTTCAGAATGGTCTGATAATCGATTATCACACTCTGATAATCGATTATCAAACTTCAGAGAGGGCTGATAGTCGATTATCACATTCTGATAATCGACTGTTGCTCATCTTTGTTACAAAAATCTGCAGAACGATGAATAATCGATTTTCAAGTTGATAATCGATTATTCATCGTCTTCTACCTCGAGCCAACTTGCGGAAATGTCACTTTTACTCACCAAACTTCAATTTAAGTATATAAAAGTGTTCTCCAAGGTTCATAGATCATTTTGGCATCATTAATTCATAGTTTTAACATCAAAATCATGGTTTACGATTCTTAGTTCTTCAAACATGTCAAACACAAAACTCAACCAAATGACCATTTATGAACGTAGAAACGACCTATATGAACATTCTAGTTATTAGATATATCTAGGGGCTTACCTCGAAGCCAAACAAAGGTTTTGAAAATTTTCCGGCGAGTATTTCTCCCAACTCCAGTGACTTCACACCAAATTGACAGCACCACAACACTCCTCACACTTTCATGAACACTTAGGAAGAAGAATGAAGAAGAATGGTGAAGAAATGAGTGAGTTGGGTTTTCTTATATAGAGTGGTGAGGAAGAAGAAGACGCAAGATGATGATGATTGATCGGCTAGTGCGTTCGGAGGCGCCGACTGAACAGTTCTCTGATTGGGACCGATTTTGGTTCTAGTCGGGGTACACTTTTTGGTCCAACTTTCTCTGAATTGAAATCCGTTCGCACCGTTGCGATCAGACAGTCGAATTCTATTCAACGATATACTTTTCATAATTATTTGTAATACTTTTTCCGACATCATATTTTTGGGTGGTTGACTTTGACAGAGTCAAAATTGGTTTAATTGACCTTTCTCATAAAAGGTTCTCTCATTTAATTCACATAAATTATTCTCATGATTTATTTCAACAAATCATTTCAATATTTACATTCTAAACAAATTCTTTATTTACTCTTGATTTGGGTCTGTACTCAGGTTCCCAAACAAGACCACACAAATAGTCCACATATTGGATTTATCTCTATGAGACTTATCCTGATTTTGATATTAGATGTCAAAACAAATTTCATATCGGCCCAAAGCCCAACAATAATTTATTTTAATCAAAACAAATTTGATTAATTGAATTATTCATTAAAAATTTTAGGGTATGTTTTGGGGCGTTACACCTTGTTTAGATCGGTGTAGTCCACGCACATCCTCCAAATGTTTCCCTTGGGTGCTAGCACCACGTTGGTCATCCACTCCGGGTACTTAACCTCTCTGATATGCCCAATGCTCTAGAGGGTGGCCACCTCATTGGAGACAAACTCCCTCCGCTCGGATGAGAGGAACCGCTTCTTCTGCTTCACCGGCCTAGCCTTCGGGTTGACTGCCAAGCGGTGACATATGACCTTGGGGTCTACCCCCAGCATATCCCCGGGTCCCCATGCAAAGATCACGCGGTAGGCGGAGAGCACGTCCACTAAGTGCTTCTGCTGGCTCCCGGTCAGGCTCACCCCGACCTTCACCTTCCGCTCGGGTGCTCGAGGGTCGAGCGGCACTTCCTCAACCTCCTCAGCGGGTTCGGCCTTCGGCCGTGCTTCCAGCTTCCGCATTTCTTCTTGTGCGTGCACGACCAACGTCTCATCTCTTGACAACTTCTTTGTGATTCGGACATAGCACGATCGAGCTAACTTTTGGTCTCCCCTCGCCACCCTGATTCCCGAAGGAGTGGGGAACTTCATGCACAAGTAGTATGGGGAGATCACACATTCCAAGTCCTCAAGGCCGGGCCGTCCTAGGATCATGTTGTGCGCGCAGCTGATGCTCACAACCATGAACTCCAATCTTCAACTTGGCCTTGTGCGCACCATCCCCTACTATCACGGGCACGGTGACGACTCCTTCGGCCTCGATGGAGTCCCCCGTGAACCCGGAGAGAGGAGTGCGCACGGGCCTTAAATCCTTGCGGTCCAAGCCGAGGTCTTGAAAGGTCTTCTCATACATTATGTTGACCGAGCTTCCCGTGTCTACCAAGGTGCGGTGCACTATGGCGTTGTTGATCTCTATCCTCACGACTAAGGCATCCCGGTGGGGGCTCGGCGTGTTCGGAAGATCCTCTCTGTGAATTGGATTTGCTCTCGTCTTCCGAGCTTGGGCGTCGGCGCCTGTTGGACCTTGGCGACGAAGGCCATGTGCTTCCACCTCTTCCTTTGAGTGGTGGAATCCACACCGATATTTCCTCCATGGATGAACCCCACCGGATATCCTTGGGCTTCGTCCTCGTCTAGATCATCACACTCTTGCCCAATGTGCCTCTTCTCGGGGTTCCTCGCTTGCATGGCCACCGCGACCGGCTCGGTCGGCTTCCTCCATTTTCTCCCTTCTAGTGGACCCCGGGAAGGGGCTGCTCCATCGTCTCGCAGAGCCGACCCTCGGGCGATGAGTCGATGCATCTCCTTCTGAAGAGTGAAGAATTCCTTAGTGTTGTGAGTATTGTTGCGGTGATACTCGCAGTACTTGGCGCCGCTGGACACCGCATAGATCTCTACGTGTGGGAGCGGGGAGAGGGCCAGCTCTCGACCCGTCCCCACGGGCGCACCCACGGAGTACACACCCGCCGAGGGCGTCCTCGGGCCCATAGTGTAGTCTTTCTTCTTCTTCCTCTTCTTCGCTATCTCCTCTGAATCTGCGGGAGCTCGCTTGGTCGCCGCGGCCTCGGAGTCATGGGCATCATCGAATTCCTCCGAGGCCAAGAACTTAGCGCGCGCCAAGGTTTCTTGGTACGTGGGGGGAGGATTCTTGCGGAGCTCCTTCCTCACCTCACCGCGGGGAAGGGCTGCTTGGAACATGGCCACCAAGCGCCCGGGCGAACTTCCGGTCCGCGATCGAGCCTGTCGAAGGCCGACACCCGGGTCTCTTCCCCTCCTAAGCGCCTGAAGGCTGACACTCGGCACTCGCTGGACTCATCGTTCTCCTCATCCGGGACGTCCTCCACAATCACCTCCTCGATCGCCGGGGCCTTTCCGGGCCTCCTTCTACTCCTCCGGGTCTTCTTCCCCTTGTGTTGGGAAGTGGCACCGTGTTCGGCATGGAGACCGAGCGGAGCTTTGCCAACTCCGGCGCCGGGCACGTTCCCACCCATGGCGGAAAGTGCCGGAACGGCTGCCTGGAGCTGCTCCGCGGTCACCCCCAAGCCGAACAGTGCCTGGACCGCGTCCGGAGTCGAGCCGATGCCGCCCGTACCGTTGCCGCTACCCGGCGCGTTCTCCTCGCCAACGACGTGGCTGGTGGTGGGGACGTTGCTCCTTGTTTGCACCATTCTCGCGTTCGGGAGTTAACCTACGAGTATGTTCCTCTGCTCTCAATGAAAGCACCAATTTGATGGCTATAAACCATCGAGAGTATGAAATAATATAAGTTTTGGAGAGAGAGAATGCAAAGTAGGAGTATATTGATTTCACAATTCGGGTTCCATTACAATGAGGGGTGACACCCCTTTTATAGGGGGTAAAATAAGCTAAGTCAAAGCTCTCTAATCGATGCCCGTCGTCTAGCGGACGTCACATGTCCTTACGTCTTGTCCCTTTCATCATATCGCTTTCACCAAGTCTTCGTTGAACGTCGCTTTCCGCACGTCGTTGTCGCGGGGTTCGGGCTCGGCTTGGATGGCCGAGCCGAGCAAGACGGATGAGCGGAGCGCAGAGCCGGGCAGGAGGGACGAGCGGAGCTCTGGGCCGGGCAGGAACGTCCAAGCCCGACACTTAGGAAATTTATGCTGATGTCAGCCCTAGGCTAGTGTGGGGTTATTCTCCATCACTAATTATATCATTATATGCATTTATTATTTTATCATTATTTTAATAAAAATCATTACAAAAAATGATTTATTAGGATATTGGTATGGTCAGTCGGTCGGGTCAGTCGGTCGGGTCAGTCGGGTCGGTCGGTTTTCAGGTCGGGTTAGGCTTAGGTTTTTGTCAAATTTTCGGGTTCGGTTGCGGTTTCGGGTTTCGGTTTAGGCAGTCGGGTTCGGGTTTGGGTAGAAATTTATACCCGACGGTTCGGGTTCAGGCAGAAAAAAATATCCGATCAAAATTTCGTGTCGGTTTCGGGTAAGGGTATATCCGAACCGAACCCGACCCGTTGCCATCCCTATTTAGAAGTGCTGCAAAGCTTTTTCATCCTCTGTCTGTCGAGAGTCTTGAGACTATGTTCGCCAAGTAGTATTAGCAATCAGAGTGTAGAGAGTTGCGAGCGTATGGCAGAAGAACTCAAATGGAGAGTGATCGTCACCAGCTCGACGCCGGTAAACACTGTACACGATAAAATCTAATTAAACCGTTTTCCGTTCCCTTCATCTGGTTTGATAGGGATTTTGATGGGATATCTAATCTGGTCTGATCTGATTGGATCTAATCTGATTGGATTTGATCTGATATAATCTGGTCTAATCTGATCTGATTAATTATGATTTGATTTAAAATTCAAATAAATAATTTGATTTGACTTTATACTAACGTTTGAAAATTATAATGATAATTCATATTATAATATAATCAATATTTTTTATTTTATGATTTTTTTAATAAAATAAAATTACGTAATTCATATATTAGAATAATCATTCATATTATAATTTAATACTCCGTAATATTTTTCATTTTATGATTGTTTTTTTGTGAAATTAGAATATTAATTTAATATTTTAATAATTACTTCATATATACATTAGAATAAATATTTAATTTATATATACATTAAATACGTCTAATAATTAAAGATTACTTTCTCAGTTTTCTATTTAACTTGTTTCTAAAATTTATTCTTTTTCATTTTTAAGAATAATAATAATAATATTAATAATAATAATTCTTGATGAGATCTGATCTGATTTGATCTGATCTGACCTGATTGGATCAGATCTGATTGGATCTGGTCTGATCTGATTGGATCTGATCTGATCTAGTTGGACCTGATCTGATTTGATTGGATCTGGTTTGATCTAATCTGATCTGATTCGATCTGATCTGATCTTATTGGATCTGATCTGATCTGATCTGATTTTAATAAGATTAAGAAAAAATAAGAAAAAATAAGTTGAACGGAACATGGCCTAAGTCTAATAGTCGAAAGTATTTGTCTTAAATTTTGATCTAAAAATGATATTATATATCGATACAAAAATTATTTTATTAGATTTATTGTATTAAATATTTTTAAAATATAATCGAATTAATATATAATATATATTATGTTTAATTATAGGTCAAAGTTGAAAATAGTTGACCAAAAAAGTCAAAACAGAGCAAATACTTAAGGACGAAGGTAATACTCCGTATTCAAGTAAATGTTTGTCATCACAGGACATTATGGATATTATTAGAAAAGATATGCATGATTTAATTTTGACGCATAGAATTCAGATTCTTAATTTCTAATTCTTTTCCTGTGCTAGGAAATTCAAAATGTGGAATGGGAAGTATTGGAATTAGAATTCAACTCTAATTCTACATTTTTGTGCTACCAAACAGAAGAATTGAAATTAGAGTCTTCAATTCTAATTCTTTAGTTTGAATTCCATGCATCAATCGGAGTCTTAATCTTTTTCTACTTCCCAAATAATGACTCTAACATGATGTTAACTTGATGAATAATGTTAGTCCCTCCGTCCTAAAACGTTCTTTCTAGTTACTATTCATACAGTCAAATTTTAACCATTTTTTTTACTTATTTTTGTTAGTTATTTGATAAAACAATACAGTATAGTCTTGCCACCTCTTGTTTTGTAGAACTTTTGATATATTTTTAAATATATAAAATATATTTTTTAATTTTAAACCTATAATTAAATAAATTGAATTGAAAATAAAGTTGGTTGAATCTCGTAAACAGAAACGAGAAGAACGTTTTAAGACGGAAGTAGTTGTAAAAGAAATTACCCTAAATATGAGTAAACATAGAGAAAGTATCAAAATAGCAGTTTTATGTTTTTATTCTCTAAATAAGAGTTCACACTTCAGTAATTTGGTACTGTACATGAGCATTTTACTATATCTTTTAGTAATTTATATGGTCATAATTGGTAATGTAAATATATTTTAGCTTATATTTTGAGAATAAAAATATTGCCACAATTTTATTTTTCTGGTCAAACTGTAACACCATTTAACCGTGAATTATGAAAAATGTATATTTAATTATAATGTAAATTTAGTAAAATTAGTTTATTTTAGAATGTAGTTTTAAAATTTTATAATATTTAATTATTTTAAACTACATTTAATTCGTGATAAAAAAATACTACAATTTAACCAAAAAAGTTAAACTGTTACAATTTTTTTAGGATTGATTAAGTATTATATAAGAGCATAACATTCCTTTTGTCCCTTTTTATCTTCCCATTTTCTTTTTTTGGATGTTTTTAATTATTTTTTTTCGAGTAATGGTAAAATCACAAATAAAACACTCACAAAATGCATAAACTTACCAATTTGTGTATTTTAGTTTTTTAATTATTCAAGACCATTATTCCAATCCATTACTTTACATATTTGGTAAATTTGTGAATTTTGTGAATATGTTATTTGTGACTCTAACAATACTCTTTTTCCCCCCATAAATTGATTACTTCGTTGGAGTGGATTGGAAGCGGGAAGTGAAAATATTGACAATGTGGGAGGACCAATTTGCCCCACGCGCGCACACAATAAAAAACATCCCAAGAAAGCATAGTACGGAGTGCTCCGTATTTGTTTAAGAACAAAGATTTCACATTTGGTATTTCTAAAAAAAAATAATAGGAAAAACAGTTCCCAGCTTCTCATCAGTCCATGCAATGCCATGGGGGGATGGAGTAATCAAAACTTCTTTCTCCTCTTTTTTTGTTGTTAAAAAGTAGAGAGTAAAAAGAATCATAGGTGAAGGTACATGGTATAAAGAATCCCCTCTTTACAAACACTATTGAAGAAGAAAAAAGATGTACAAAAAATTGTTTATATTCGGGAACAGCTCTACGAGCCGAAGTGGGAGTTACTCCGAAATGAGATTCGCGGCTATATATGGAAACCGTATATAGTATCTCCAAATTATATTCTCTATAGCGAAAGGAAGCGGTCAGCCAAAAATGGGATCATGTAGAAATTCTTCACCCTAGCTTTCATTGCACAATGATAGACTCACTTTTGTTCTTCCTATCCGTATCTTCACCGTGAATTCCAAAAGAGAGAAAAAAAGTGTGTAAGACATGCGTACACCGGTAACTAGTCATCATCGTCCGCAAACGAGAGCAAGGAGAATGGCCTGAACTTGTAGCCGTCGCCGTGATAAAACTTGTTCTGAAATTCGACCCAGTGGAGACGCAGTGCATGAAGAAAAGCACTGAGCGTCTCCATCATGAGTAGTATAAATGTTGTTGCAAAGGCAAAAACCGCCAACCCCACCAGTCGTATGAAGATGTTATCGTACCTGCAAAACCACATCTCTCATGGCAATCAAATAGAGTGGATACCATTAACTGTTATGTTTATGGGTGCGAAAAAAACACATCTAAACGTTCACTGATTAAATTATACTCACTCCATTTGATTAAATTTCGGAGAAATGAGAGACAAAATCCATGAAAAAGTAGAATTGTGTCGTAAAAACCTCAACAACC